CTCTTCCGGTACGTCACTCATTCCGTGTCCATGTGTCAGGGCGACTGTAACGTGCGCCCCTGCTGGACGGCTTGGGTGACAGAAATTGACCGTCTCAGGTCCTGGAGGCCTGAAGTGCAGAGCTGAGGCATCGGTCGAGCCGGGAGGGCAGGTGGCTGCTGGCCCCTGGCATTGGCTGGGGTGCAGACACAGGGCCCCATCTCCACCTCCGCCTGCCCAGGGTGCTCTCCCTGTTCATGGGGACACCACTCCCACTGGGTTCGGGGCCCACCCTGAGGGTCTCAGCCCAAACGCGGGCATCCACAGCGACCCTATTTCCAAGTAAGGTCGCATCCTGAGCCCCCGGGAATGCACGCTTCGGCATAGAAGCGCCAGGGACACAGCCCAACACTGGGCACAGGTCCTCTGCTGCCCTGCCTAGTCCTGCTGCCCTGGCCCTGCCCTGCCTCTGTCTAGGACACCTCTCCACCTGCTGTGTGCTGCTCCCCTCCCTCCTGGCCGCTCTGTGCAGGGTCTCTGCGGGAATCCCGACCTTCTGAGCTCTGAACAGGAGGTGGAGGGCAGGAAGGGGCGTGGCCTTTGTGCTGGGCAGTAATCCGCTGGCAGAGCCGGCCTCAGAGCTGGCAAACACCCCGGGCTGGCCGTGCACATCACTTGATTGGGACCGACACCCACCAGTTCAACTTCACATCATTTGTTTAAAGGAAATCAGTTAGGATCCAGAAAATATGGTGCATCAGGATGTTAATATGGGTTTACATAGGCAGGGAAATTGGGGTCACTTTCATGCCACCGCTGGTGTCACGTTTACTAGCAATAAGCGCTGGAATTAATGGCGGCGGCAGTCTCTCTGTCTAGTGGAGGCTAAATTAACCACTCCTGTATTTATTACCTGCTCATTAAGCAGCGCGGGTAACTGGAGCCGTAATGGACGCTTTCATTAGAGCTCATTCCCCCAGCCGACGCCGACGCCATTGTCCTTGCCGGGGACTTTCTGCTGTCACCGGGAGAGGCTGCCCTCCCCGGCAGCCCTGCGCGCATCCTGTGCGTTGGAACCTTAATTTGCGTAGCCTAACGGGCTTTGATGTCTTCAGTGCTTTGTACACACATCCATGCGCGAGCCGCAGTCGTCAGGACGTACGGGGCACGGAAGGCGCCACACGGCCAGAACCTGTTGTAAAAAGGAAGCACCAAGGAGCAAAATCCAGGACACTGTGGTTCATCAACCGCTTTTATTCCAGATTCAGACACAAATCAAGGGAGACGCACACGGGCACAGCAGACCCCTGCTCCTGACGAATGGAGACAGCCAAACTAATTTTCCTGGTGACCTTATCCAAGTTAGTTAGAAAATAACACTTGCGATTTATGGCGAGTTACAATTAAGACCTTTCATATCTTCTAATTAAACCCGTAAAGATTTATTTCTGCATGATTCCTTGGGTAATCCTTTAAAAATGATAAAAACTAAATGGACCTCACCTTCCAGAGGAGAAGCTTCTATTTATCCTAAATTAGAGGCCGGCGCCGCGGCTCACTAGGCTAATCCTCCGCCTAGCGGCGCCGGCACACCGGGTTCTAGTCCCGGTCGGGGCACCGGATTCTGTCCCGGTTGCCTCTCTTCCAGGCCAGCCCTCTGCTGTGGCCCGGGAGTGCAGTGGAGGATGACCCAGGTGCTTGGACCCTGCACCCCATGGGAGACCAGGAAAAGCACCTGGCTCCTGGCTCCTGCCATCGGATCAGCGCGGTGCGCCGGCCGCAGCGCGCTGGCCGCGGCGGCCATTGGAGGGTGAACCAACGGCAAAAGGAAGACCTTTCTCTCTGTCTCTCTCTCTCACTGTCCACTCTGACTGTCAAAAAAAAAAAAAAAAAAAATTAGACTCATACCCTTCCTTTCAAATGGCCGCCTCTCCGATTCAGATTTATACCTCTCCAGTGCAAATTCCACAGCGCCCTTACGTCGTTTATTTTTAAAGTCTGTGCAAACGGTAAATGAGTATAGGAGAGCACTCCCGCACGTTCGAGGAAATGGAACTGAAAGTTTGGTTTGGGGGCCGGCGTCGTGGCACAGCGAGTTCAGCAGCTGCCTGTGCTGCTGGCATCCCGTATGAGCACCAGTGCCAGTCCCAGCTGCCCCTCTTCAACCCAGCTCCCTGTGTATGCGCTTGGAAAGGAAGCAGATGGCGGCCCGAGCGCCTGGGGCCTGCCACCCACATGGGAGACCCAGATGAAGCTCCTGGCTTCCCCCTGGCCCAGCCCGGTCTGGTGCAGCCACTTGGAGAGTGAGTGGGTGGGTGGGAGATCTTTCTGTTCCTCTCTCCAGCTCTGCCTTCAAATAAACAAATAAGTCTTTTAAAAAAATTATTTCAGTGGGCTGGCGCTGCGGCTCACTAAGCTAATCCTCTGCCTTGCAGCGCCGGCACCCCAGGTTCTAGTCCTGGTCGGGGTGCCGGATTCTGTCCTGGTTGACCCTCTTCTAGGCCAGCTCTCTGCTGTGGCCCAGGAGTGCAGTGGAGGATGGCCCAAGTGCTTGGGCCCTGCACCCGCATGGGAGACCAGGAGAAGCACCTGGCTCCTGCCTTCGGATCAGTGTGGTGCGCCGGCCGCAGGGTGCCGGCCGTGGCAGCCGTTGGAGGGTGAATCAATGGCAAAAAGGAAGACCTTTCTCTCATCTCTCTCTCTCTCACTGTCCACTCTGCCTGTCAAAAAAAAAAATTATTTCAGTGTAAAAATACCTTGAAAATTCATGCACCCAAATCTTTGAAGACGTCATGAAAAAGGCATATTGTGAAAAATGTGTGTGTGGATTTCAAAAAATTGTGCACCAAATTAAAACCCCCTTTAATTCCCTTTTCCACGACCTTTCGGTGCCCTGGGTAATCGCACGTGGTTAAAGCTCAGCCCTGGGTGCCTTCCTGGTGAGCCCTCAGGGTGGGCTCTCCCCTCGCCCACAGCCAGGACGGAAACGCCCCGGAGGCCGGCATCCAGCCAGCGTAACTCCCGGTCTACGCCGGCCGGTGCACCGGGCTTCCCGCCTTGCAAGCCTTCCCTTCAACTCTCTCTCTGCGACGTGTTCTCTGTGTGACTCCTGACATGTTCTCTGTGTGACTCCTGACGTGTTCTCTGTGTGTGACTCCTGACGTGTTCTCTGTGTGACACTCCTGACGTGTTCTCTGTGTGACTCCTGACATGTTCTCTGTGACACTCCTGACATGTTCTCTGTGTGACACTCCTGACGTGTTCTCTGTGTGACTCCTGACGTGTTCTCTGTGTGACTCCTGACGTGTTCACACTCCTGACGTGTTCTCTGTGTGTGACACTCCTGACGTGTTCACACTCCTGACGTGTTCTCTGTGACACTCCTGACGTGTTCTCTGTGTGACTCCTGACGTGTTCACACTCCTGACGTGTTCTCTGTGTGACTCCTGACATGTTCTCTGTGTGACTCCTGACGTGTTCTCTGTGTGACACTCCTGACGTGTTCTCTGTGTGTGACTCCTGACGTGTTCACACTCCTGACGTGTTCTCCGTGACACTCCTGACGTGTTCACACTCCTGACATGTTCTCTGTGTGACTCCTGACGTGTTCTCTGTGTGACACTCCTGACGTGTTCTCTGTGTGACACTCCTGACGTGTTCACACTCCTGACGTGTTCTCTGTGTGTGACTCCTGACGTGTTCTCTGTGTGACTCCTGACGTGTTCTCTGTGTGACACTCCTGACGTGTTCTCTGTGTGTGACACTCCTGACGTGTTCACACTCCTGACGTGTTCTCTGTGACACTCCTGACGTGTCACACTCCTGACATGTTCTCTGTGTGACTCCTGACGTGTTCTCTGTGTGACACTCCTGACGTGTTCTCTGTGTGACACTCCTGACGTGTTCTCTGTGACTCCTGACGTGTTCTCTGTGTGTGACACTCCTGACGTGTTCACACTCCTGACGTGTTCTCTGTGACACTCCTGACGTGTTCACACTCCTGACATGTTCTCTGTGTGACTCCTGACGTGTTCTCTGTGTGACACTCCTGACGTGTTCTCTGTGTGACACTCCTGACGTGTTCTCTGTGTGACACTCCTGACGTGTTCACACTCCTGACGTGTTCTCTGTGTGACACTCCTGACGTGTTCTCTGTGTGACACTCCTGACGTGTTCTCTGTGTGACACTCCTGACGTGTTCACACTCCTGACATGTTCTCTGACTCCTGACGTGTTCTCTGTGTGACACTCCTGACGTGTTCTCTGTGCGACTCCTGACGTGTTCTCTGTGACACTCCTGACGTGTTCACACTCCTGACGTGTTCTCTGTGTGACACTCCTGACGTGTTCTCTGTGTGACACTCCTGACGTGTTCTCTGTGTGACACTCCTGACGGGTTCACACTCCTGACATGTTCTCTGACTCCTGACGTGTTCTCTGTGTGACACTCCTGACGTGTTCTCTGTGTGACACTCCTGACGTGTTCTCTGTGCGACTCCTGATGTGTTCTCTGTGACACTCCTGACGTGTTCTCTGTGTGACACTCCTGACGTGTTCTCTGTGACACTCCTGACGTGTTCTCTGTGTGACACTCCTGACGTGTTCTCTGTGTGACTCCTGACGTGTTCTCTGTGTGACACTCCTGACGTGTTCTCTGTGTGACACTCCTGACGTGTTCTCTGTGCGACTCCTGACGTGTTCTCTGTGTGACACTCCTGACGTGTTCTCTGTGACACTCCTGACGTGTTCTCTGTGTGACACTCCTGACGTGTTCTCTGTGCGACTCCTGACGTGTTCACACTCCTGACGTGTTCTCTGTGTGACTCCTGACGTGTTCTCTGTGTGACACTCCTGACGTGTTCTCTGTGTGTGACACTCCTGACGTGTTCTCTGTGTGACACTCCTGACGTGTTCTCTGTGTGACACTGCGTGTCTGATTCTGCCTGGAAGGTGGGTTGTGTCCTGTATCGTCCTCAGGCACCAGCTGTCACCCACTCATGTCTCCCGTCTTTTCTCCCCAGGCGAGTACAGCTACCTGGGGACCACCCTCCGCCACGTGTCCATAGAACCCATGCCGTCCCCCATGGACGTGAGACAGCTCATCACGCTGTACGGGATCCTGCCCTTAGGTGAGACCCCCCAGGCCCCAGTGGGCCTCTTCTGCCAGCAGGGGGCGCCGCTCGCTGGCTCTGACCCTGGGCTCCTGGTGGTCGCTGCAGCTCCGTGTCTTGAGCCCCTGAGTGAGCCCGGGTTCATCCCAGCAGTGCGTCCCTGGGCCCCCCGAGCGGCACCAGCAGGTGCCGTCCCCCTCCCCGTCTCCGTGTGCTGTGGCTTGCACATGGCTTGTGTGGTGCCCAGGCTTCCTGGGTCCCCATTTACCCTCACCGCCAGGTCTGGCGAGAGTGGGAACTTAGTCCTTGCTGGGACCTCTGAGCCGTGAATGGGATTAGACACGGGCATCGGAGCAGAGCCCCGCGCGGGATGCACGCATTGTGCTGGGGGCAAGAAGATAAACTGCTGGTGGGGCCCTGGGGGCTGCATACACAGATGAGCCCCGGAGCCCATCGCAGAGCCGGGAGGCAGCACCCTGCGGGCTCTCCCGCTGGGCCCCTCGCGGCGCAGACGCGGGGCGGTGGGTGCGGGTCCGGTGCTCAGGCAGCCCCGCCGGGCCCTCCCGCTGTCACCGAGGAACCTTCCGTCCACAACCGCAGCCCAGTCCTCAGGCCCCTGCTCTGGCCGAGGGCGTTTGTCTCCTGGTGGGGCTTCTGCGCCCGGTGACCGGACCGCGTCCGCGGGGCAGTGGGCGCAGGAGGGGCACAGACAGCCCTGCACGTGCTGCACCGAACCTGGCCAGGCTGACGTGGGATCCTGTTCTGAAGGCAGGTGTTTGTTGGCTGCAGCTGTTCAGGTCGGCTTGGTGGTGGCCAGCGTGTGGACACTGCGGACAGCTCCACAGGCCATGTCCCACACCTGGCCAGGGAGCAGCAGCCCCATCCGGGGCACCCAGGACGAAGGCCGAGGGTGCTGGGCCCCCTTGGTAGACAAGAGAGCCCGGAAAGTGGCTGGCCGGCGTCACCGTCCCCCAGAGGTCAGGGAGCGGAGTGGGGGGCACTTCCTCAACAGAAACGGCCTCCTCGGGGTCCCGGCCGCGTCCAGCCCGACATTGCCCCTGCTTGTGCGGATCAGCAGGCGTCTCCGTCCCTTTTCAGTGGCTCTAGTAGAACGCTGGGCGCTGCCGAGTCAGGAAGAACAGACGTCCACTCTGGCCACAGTTCCAGAGGCAGCTGCCCGGTGCTGCCGCATCAAATGGCGGAAAACAGAGAAGCAAGGCGCGTGCAAGACACGCAAAACCCAGCGGCGGGCTTGACTTAGGACAGCCTGCGCCCGCAGGAAGCAGCCCAGTCCCTGGTAAAGTCCAGCCGCCCCTCAGAGCCCCACCTCCAGCGCCACCATCCAGACCAAGAAACGTCAGCGCGAGCTCGGAAGGGGACACACCGTCTGCAAACCACAGCGCTAAGCATCTCCAAGGCCCAGGGCCAGCAAGAGACAGAGCTGGGCCGGGGACGTCCAATGCCGGCCTGCTGGTTACCCTGCGGTCCTCCCGAGGCTGGGCAGGGCTCTGAACAAAAGCTGGAAATGCCGCAGGTCTCTGGGGAGCTCCAACGAGGAGCAGGCAGAGCCGAGGGTGCAGGCAGCTGTGTCCTGTGTCCCTCCCGCCACCTCTGCCTGCCTGAGGTCAGCCAGGCCCCAGCTCAGAGGCCTCCCCGGACCACGCTCTTCCCAGCTGAGCGGCCCTGGCGGCCAGCCCTCTCCTGGGGCTCCCGCCCCTCCCGAGGTTGTGGCCCTAGCCCCAGGGCCTCCTCCCAGCCCAGGTCAGCCAGGGCCCTTGGCAAGGCTGGGTCCCGGCCCCCGACATTTCAGGAACCCCAGCAGCTGCACCCTGCTTGCGGTCCATCACCCGCCACTGCCAGTCAGTTGCCTGCCCCTCCTCCACCCCAGCCGGATCCCCGCCATGGCCCGTGCTCGGGTCCCCCTCACACCCCCTCCACTACAAGCTGCCCCCACAGTGCAGCCCGACGGCCCCGCCCCCTCGCTGGAGTCAGTTCTTCTCTGAGCGCTCTGAGGCTCTCCTGGGTCGTGGCACCATTTGCCTCCCACTCAGGTCAGATCAACGCAGGCCTCAGCTCCCCTCTTGGCAGCAACTCCTGAGTGTTTTCCACGTTGACTCCACCTCCCTTCTCACCACCCACCGAGGCCCCGAGCCAGGGCCACGCGCAGAGCAGCCTCTGATGCCCCCGCGCCGAGTGGACAGTGGGCAGGCGGCACTCCTCTCCTCCGTGGAAAGCAGCGTCTGGGACCCTCCCCCTCCGTGACCCCGCGGGAAACCTGCTCATCTCCTTCCCCTTCCATGAAGCCCGTGGTGTCATTCGAAGACCTGGCTGTGGGCTTCACCCAGGCGGAGCGCCAGGACCAGGCGACGCTCAGAGGTGCAGGGTGTGGTGCTGGAGCCAAGCCTGCCGTCCCTGGGGCACTGCATTCCCAAGCCTGATGTGGTCTCCAAATCGCAGCGAGGAGCAGAGCCCGGGACGGTGGCAAAACCCCGAAACCAGAGCCTGTAAGCGGCCCGCAGAAAGGATGAGCTGCTTGGAACCAAGTGGGAAAGTCAAGAAACAAAGTTGAGATCTGATTCTCCTTAGGCAGCCTGACAAGAGGCCAGCTGCAGAGAGACATGGTGGCCCTGGTGCTCTGGGCTCTCGCCGCGGGGCCGGGCAGAACTCAGCAGCCCAGGATTCACGCGGCGCGGGAGCTCCCCGAGCACAGTGGGAAGAGAGGCTCTGTGTCAGAGACACCTGTAACTGCGGGAAAAACAACTCCACTTTCCATCAAAATCGCGCTTCAATGAACATCAGCCAGCACACGCACTCGGGAGAGAAACTCCACGAACCTCTGGAGCTCCCCAGAGACCTTTAGGGAAAAAGGAATTGCTCCAAATTGTTTTCCAGGTTGATCGGAAAATGGGAGGTGGCCCTAAAAGTCATATTCTCGTCCCGTGAATTTCCTCTGTCTCGTCCATTACGAGTGGTGATGAACTCGACATGATCTCAGCTGATCAGAAAAGCCTAGACGTTCCCCAGAAGCGAGCTCGCCTGGCGGTGGTGGGTCCAGGGCTTGGTGCTGTGCCCTTAGAGGGGCCTCGGGCCAGTCTGGGCTCCGCCTGCCTGCACTGCAGCCCGCAACACCCAGGCACAAGGTCCCTGTGACCTGGGAGCTCCAGTTGCTTTCTCACCCAGTGCTGGTTCACCCGGCCGCTCCTGACTGGCCAGCAGCCAGGGCGGGGGCAACATGTCCAGGCCCCAGCTGCCTGGACCTTGGCCTTCCTTCCCCTTCCCCTCGCGAGGTTGCTCTCTTCCCCTTCCCCTCGCGAGAAGGGCTAGGAAGGAGGCTGCAGGAGTGAGCACGCCGCGTCTCACTTCCTTTCCCAGGCTGTGCGAGGATTTACTGCTGCTGCCGACAAGCAGAGAAACCCCCTCAAAAACCCACAAAGCCCGAGGCAAGCGATCGCAGGAATGCTCCTTAGAATTACGAGTGCCGCGGAAACGCTGGGGAGAGTGGGAGAGAAGAGGGTGTTGGGGACCAGAGACCCTGTGGCTCCAGCACACGCCCTGGCGTACAAATTAAGGTGTCACGGAGCCAGCTGGGACGGCCGGCGGGCCCCTGGTGCGCGATGCCCAGGGCACGTGGATCACGGTCGTGGAAGGAAGCCGGGGTCGCGGGGTGCGCTGAGGGTCTTGCCGTGGCCTCGCCCGAGAGGGGCAGGGTCTCAGCGCCTGTGCCTCTGCGTGTTTCAGGCTCCGCCTCCGTGCATGAGAAAGCTCCCCTGGTCAAGTCGCTGCTGCTGGCCGGGCCGTCCGGGGTAGGCAAGAAAATGCTGGTGCACGCCATCTGCACGGAAACGGGAGCCAACCTCTTCAACCTGTCACCGTCCAACATCGCCGGGAAGTACCCCGGCAAGAACGGCCTGCACATGATGCTGCACGTCGTCATCAAGGTACAGCGCCCCGCCCTCCGTGACCCGGCCACGGCCACGGCCACACAAGACGGCCCTAGGCCGCGAGCACGAGTCCCTCAAACTTCCCATCACATCCCGCGTGAATTGCTTCATGATTGCACCCGGCCCCGCCTGTAGCTGTAAGAGACGGCTCTGTCCCTGGCCTGAGCAGCCCTCGTGCCACCCAGAGCCGCCTCTGTGGCCGGAGCCCACGCGTGCATCGCTGCAAAGGGTAACCCACTGCTCACTCTAAGAGCTGGCGTCCTCCGGCGTTTGCGTTTGGGGCATTGCTCTCTCACGTGGCCCCCTGTGCGTCAGCTCCTTACGTGGGCTCCATGGGCCACGCAGGAGGCCACGCTGACCACAGTAAAGTGTGAATAGACAAGGGGATCACAGGGCCAGAGACGGGGAGTTCCAGACAATCAAACCCGCCTCCCGGCACGTGCTCCGACCTAGCCACGGAACTGCCCCACGTGCCCCTTTTGTCGTCACCAAAATGAGTAAGTTCTAAAGAGCTTGGGTACAGACCAGTTTAGGGGACATCAGGGTTGCTGTCTTCCCCACTGGGTACTGGAGGTCAGCGTCAGAACCCACACACGTGCAGACGCCTTCCCGCACTTGGGGCTGGACAGCGCCCACAGGCACTTTCTAAGGGGCTGTAAGCGAGGGGAGGAACCCATGGAGTGCACAGCTGTGTGGCCGCCCTTTCTCCTGCCTTGTGTCCTGGTCTAACTGCTTTTTTCAGAACGTCTATTCCAGCTGTCATGGAACTGTTGGATTTGTGGTTTGTTCGGGCTCTTGGTAGACACGGGATGGAAGTCTGTGTCAGACGCACCTGCTGCAGACGGCTTCCCTCAGCCGTGCTCGCCTTCTCATTTTCTTACTGTTTTTTGTTATTTAATTGCTCTGTCAGTTACCAAAAGAGGGTCTTTAGGCCTCCCTCTGGGTGGATCTCTCGGTTTCTCTTCTTCCGTCAGCTCTGGCCTCATCTGTGTCGGAGTGCTGTTATGAGCGGCCCCTTCGTTCAGGGTAATGTCTTGCTGATTGCTTTATCAGGGATGAAATGCTGGTTTTGTTAGCACACCAGGTCTCAAAGCTGATCTGGCCTCATGTTAAAGCCACGCGTGCTTGCGTCTGCTTCCTGCATGGGTGCATTTTTACATCTTGTGTTCAGTGCATCCGTGTCTTGGTAGTTTAAGAGCAGTTCTTGGCCGGCACCACGGCTCACTTAGCTAATCTTCCGCCTGCGGCGCCGGCACACCGGGTTCTAGTCCTGATTGGGGCGCCGGATTCTGTCCCGGTTGCTCCTCTTCCAGTCCAGCTCTCTGCTGTGGCCCAGGAGTGCAGTGGAGGATGGCCCAAGTGCTTGGGCCCTGCACCCCATAGGAGACCAGGAGAAGCACCTGGCTCCTGGCTTCAAATCAGCGCAGCGCGCTGGCTGTAGCAGCCATTTGGGGGGTGAACCAATGGAAGGAAGATCTTTCTTGCTGTCTCTCTCTCTAACTCTGCCTGTCAAAAAAAAAAAAAAAAAAAAAAAAAAAGAGCAGTTCTTGGGAACAGCCCATGGTTGGGTTTTGCTTCCTTATTCAGTCTGAGAATATATGCCATGTAGTGGGAACTTCACAATTATTCATAGGTGACTTAGGGCTACCATTTTGGTGTGCATTCTTAGTTTTCCTCCATTCTTTTCTATTCTGTTTCTCTTTTCCTGACTTCCTCTGGGTCAGTTCATGTGTTACTTATTTCATTTACCTTCCTTGGCTGTCCTTTCAGCCACACTTTTTTTTTTTTTTTTTTACTTTTTAGTAGTTGCTCTGTTGATGACACTAGACAGTCTTAATTTATAAACCAAGATGAACTCTTTTTAAAGATTTATTTATTTATTTGAAAGAGCTACAGAGTGGTGGAGGGAGAGAGAGAGAGAGCGCGAGAGCTCTTTCATTCGCTGATCCACTCCCCAAATCGCTGCAATGGCCAGAGCTTCGCCGATCCAAAGCCAGGAGCCAGGAGCTTCTGCCAGGTCTCCCATGCAGGTGCAGGGACCCAAGGACTTGGTCCATCTTCTGCTGCTTTCCCAGGCCACAGCAGAGAGCTGGATTGGAAGAGGAGCAGCCGGGTTTTGAACGAGTGCCCACGTGGGGATGCTGGTGCTGCAGGCCATGCCACAGCACCAGCCCCAGTAAACTCTTAGTTTATCAACCGTGCAGTGTTGGTGTTGTACCCTTTTGCATAAAATGTGAAACCCTTGCAACAATATAGTTCATTTATTGTCCCCATCTTCTGTGTGTTTAGTGTCATACATCTCACATATGAATGCTACCAGTGCCTCAGCAGAATGCTTTTGTAACAGTGTAATGTTTTCTGTGCACCCACAAGTTCACTGTTTTTAATGTTCATCACTTTCTGTTAGTCCAGGTCTCCACCTGGTGTCGTGTACTTCCGTCTGAACTTCCTGGGGCGTTCGTGTTGGTGCAGGTCTGCCGGCACATGTTTTCCTGGTTTCTGTTTCATTTGTCCTAGAACGTCTTCATCACGTCCATTTTTGAAGGATTTTTTACTGGACGTAGAAGCACAAGTTGATTGCTTTCTGCTTCCATCATCTTGTGGCTGCCATTGTTCCTGATGAGAAGTTACCGAACACCGGGGTCCTCCGAGGGTTGTGAGATTTTCTGGGTTTTGGTTGTCGTTGGTTGACTGTAATGCAGAACGGTTTCCTTGTTTGGTTAATATTTTTTCTATTTAATCTGTTGTGTCTTACTGTGCTCATTGAATCTGCATGTGTTCCTAACCAAATTTGGGAGATTCTGGCCATTATTTCTTCATTTTTCTAGCCCATTCTCTTTCCTCTCCTTCTGAGGCTCCAATTACATGTGTATTTGACTTCTTGCTGTTGGCCAAGTCAGTGAGGTCCTGCTCTGATTTCGTGTTGGGTCGTTTTGATTAATCCGGACTCAGGTTTTCTTACTCTTCTGTGGTCTCCAGTCTACCAGCAAACCCGTCTTGTGGCTTTTTCCTTTATTTCTGGCATCTTGCTCTTCAGTGCTAGAACTTACGTTTACTGGTGAATATTACTGGTTCTCATTTCTCTGCTACAGTTTTCCACCTGTTCACTCACAATGAGCATCTTCTCCTCTATGTCTTTGACCTTAGTAGGTGCCTACAGTCCTTACCTGTTCATTCCAGCACTGGGTCATCACGGGCACAAGGACGCCTTTGTCCTTCACTGTGTGCCACACCTTCCTGTTTTGTTAGTTTGATCAGTTTTTATTGTATGTGAACTTTGTGGGTGATACGATGAAGAGGCCCTGAGGCAGGCAGATTGCTGGTTGATCAGCTTGAATGCTCAGCGTTTTGTTTTCTGTGTGGTTAATGTGGGTCTGTTTGGACTTTGCCTTTGTCCAAAGAAAATCTGTTGGTCTCAGGACATATCGTCTGCTGCAGGGTTCCATGGAAACTCTGTCTTCGAAGCCCCTCCAACCCAACAGTAGCTGAGGCCTGTGCTCAGTTATTTTTTGTTTGGGGATTTTTTTTTTTTTTGTTTTCTGATTTTTGTTTTACACATTTCTAGTAATATTGAAAGTATAAAGCAGAGTTCAAGGAAGACAAAGATTTAGCAATGTTTAATATTTTTGTAGACATTTAATATGTAAACATCTTACACACACATACCATTTTTCTTGAAAGCAGAGATGGATATATTAATGTCACATAATGTGAGATTCATGACAAAGATCATACAGTGAGGAAGAAGCATTTACATATATTTTTTTTTGACAGGCAGAGTTAGTCAGTGAGAGAGAGAGACTGAGAGAAAGGTATTCCTTCCATTGGTTCACCCCCCAAATGGCCACTATGGCCAGCCTGCGCCGATCCAAAGCCAGGAGCCAGGTGCTTCCTCCTGGTCTCCCATGTGGGTGCAGGTTTGGGCCATCCTCCACTGCCTTCTCGGGCCACAGCAGAGAGCTGGATTGGAAGAGGAGCAGCCAGGACTAGAACCCGGGATGCCAGCGCCTCAGGCAGAGGATTAGCCTAGTGAGCCGTGGAGCCAGCCAGAAGGGTATATTTTTACACAAGGGGTATAATTCAGGGAATACTACATTTATAAATATCTATATACCAAATAGTATGGCACCCACATGTTTTATGCCGAATATATTAACTTCGCATACGAGAGAAGCGTGGAGTTAGCCTTTCTGTGTCTGGTTTATTGCATTTTGCATGGTGATCTCCAGTTCCGTGCATTTTGTTGCAGGTGTCAGGATTCTGTTCTTTTTATGGCTGAGTGCTGTTCCTGTGTGTGTGTGTGTGTGCATCTGTGTGTGTGTCCCGTTTTCTTCATCCACTCATGCACTAATGGACATCTACATGGATTCCATATCTTTGCTGTTCTGAGTTGGGCTGCAGTATGGGTGGGAGTGCAGGTATCTCTTTGATAAGCTGATGGCATTTTCTACATCCCAGAAGTGGGATAGCTGGGTCATATGGCAGGTCCGTTTTTCTTTGAGGAATGGCCCTGTTTTCCACAAGCACTGTGCTAATTGGCTTTCTCACCAACAGTGTGTTGTGGTTCCATTTTCTCCACTTCCTCACCAGCACTTGATAATTTTGGCTTTTGGGTGATAGCCGTTCTAACTGAAATGACATGATACCTCACTGTGCTTTGTATTTGCATTTCCCTGATGGCTGGTGATATACTGAGCAATTTTTGTGTATTTGTTTGTATTTCTTCTTGTATGTTTTAAAATATGTATTTATTTTGTTTACTTGAAAGGCACAGTCACAGAGAGATATCCCAACTTGCCATAAGTGCTTGGGCCTGGCTAGGCCAATGCCAGGAACCAGGAACTTCATCTGGGTCTCCCATGTGAGTGGCAGGTGTCCAAGGACTTGGACCATCTTCCACTGCTTTCCAAGGCACAGTTGCAGGGAGCTGGATCAGAACTGGAGCAGCCGGGACAGAAGCCAGCGCTCTAGTGTGGATGCCACGGGTGTCACCACCAGCAGCTTAACCTGCTGTGCCACAGTGCTGCCACCTTGTACTTCTTCTGAAAATTTGCTATTCAGATTTCTTAACTGGATTGCTTTTTTTACTGCTGTTGAATTTCTCAAGCTCTGTATACGTTCTGGACTTTAGTCTCTTGTCATATGCATAGTTTGCAAATATTTTCTCCTGTTCTGTCGGTTGTCTCCTCACTCTTGGTTGTTCCCTGTGCTGTGCAGAAGCTTCTTGGTTTGATGCTAGCCCATTTGTTTAGTTTTGGTTTTGTTGTCTATGCTTTCGGGAAGGTATCCAAAAAGTCACTGCCTTTGTTGTACCTGAGCAAGCGCAAACAAAGGAGCACCACACATTGATGCAATCTGATGGTCCTTTATTGCCGGCGATGGAGAGTGGGGCTCATGCCCTAAAGAACTCTCGACCCTGAAGCCCAAAGCAACAGGGTTTATAAAGGCAAAAACCGCAAAATTGGAAGGGGAATACATGGTTGCTA